GAGCGTGAATATCGCGAGCATTCCCGCCCTCGATACAACGCCGCCGTAGACGTCCCTCAGACTCACCAGTCCGAGAACATCCGCGTCGACGATAGACCGCCGCGCGTCTTCAAGAGTAACATCGAGACTCATGGGGATGGTCCTCTCGGGCCGGGCTGTAAAATCCGGTCGGGGTAGATCGTCTGCCGCACTTCTTCGTCCAGGATGTGTCCTTGAGCGCAGCTGCCTTTTCCTGTTGGCTGTTGGCTGTTGTATGTCCTTCCGTCAACTTCCAAGGGCGGTGATTCGACTAAGACGGTCGATTTCTCCCACCCTGTTAATTTGTAGATATCAGCTGGCGTCTGTATGCTATTGAGAAATTCCACTTTCTGTTTCTTCTTTGCCCTCCTAATTGCCCTGGAGAGGTTTCGTCGTGCCAGCTGTACATCACGGTCAAACCCTGTCGGGTGCGCTCTGCGCGTGGCGATTAGTTCTAGACGAGCAAACTTGCATTCGTCATTCCACCATGTGTACGTTTTCCGGGCCTTGATGGACGGTGCTTTACCAGCAACTACGGCTGCCGTCTGTAAGCAGTCCATGATTGCTTTGCAAAGTGATTCGATGTGTTTTGGTTCCTTCGGCGGGCCTGGCAAGTGCATGGCTCCTGCTTGAACCGCTTTGGCAAACAATGCCAGCTGTTCTTCAGTGCTGACTCTAGGGTGTTTGAGCCGTGGGATGGTTGTGGCAGCTATGTCTGGGATAATTGTCGACAATGTATATTAGTATCCACCACATATGAGGTGTTCTTCAACCGTTGTCCGTGCCAAGGTGTTTGAGAAGATAAGATCGATGGTTGTTCCCTTTGCCGTGGTGGGTATTCCTGGCTTGTTGTGTAATGTCAGCTCGTTCTCGTCCACCCATCAGGCTAGATCGCCGGCTCGTGCAGTAGGGGTGCATCCCGGTTCCCAGCTTGGGTGCCGGGTATTCCAGTCCCCGGCGAGCAGGACTCTGCCAGTAGGCGCAGGCTCGCTGAGGATGTGTTGAACTGGCTGCCGATCCGCATGATTGTATATGTTGATAATATGTAAGTCGTTGACTTGGGTCAGGAGTATGTCGGTGCCAGCATAATGCTTCGTCTGATGCACCTCGAGGTTGGAGGGGATCCGGGTGTATGTGAGTACACCAGGCCAGCCTGTCTTTTCTGTGGGCCAGTGCGTCGTAGGTGAAAAGGCCCTGTAGTTTCTGTTCTTGGGAATAAGATTTCTTTCGTCGTTGCCGCAGCAAGGTTCTTGTATGAGAACCACATCGTACTGTCCGTGGTCTGCTAGGCGGAGGGCTTCCTCGTGGATCGTCCAGCTCTTATCCACGTTGACTTGCAGGATTGTGAGTTGTTGATGGCGCATATGGATTATTTCCTGGCTGTGCTTCTGGCCGTGGGTCTGACGTAGCCCGGTCGGTATTGTGGTTTGATCAGATTGATCTGTTCCTTTGTGAGCCTTGTTGGGCGCATGTTTTCTTCAGCCGACTCATCGTCTGGCTCCGTTGTCCCGACAGTTCGTTTACGCTTGGCAGGCGAGCCTGCTGGTGAGGCGGGACTGGTTAAGGCGTCTGTGTAGTTGGATATGGCCTGGCTGCTGTTGCCATGAGATGTGGTCATGGTTGAGCTTATTCCGCGTTGCGGTAGTGGTATCATTTGCAATGGTGCTGCGTTGGCGGCCGTGGTGGGTGGCGCACTGGGTTGTCCTTCTCTTGTATCTATTTCCGTATCCGGTTGAGTCGGGTGGGTGTCCATGGCTTGATTGGTTGTAGCTGTGGTGGCTGGCGGGTCATCTGTTCGGTTGCGCTTGGCGGCCGCATAGTCCTGCGCGCCTTGTCTTCGCGCCCTCTGGCGCTGGAGCTTGGACAGTTTCTCGACGTTGCCATTCACGATTTTGGGCCGGGCGTAGCAATGCGTATCATCTGCAGAATGTGGTCCGAGGCAATTAGCACAGCGAGGAGCCTCGCTACAGTTTTCTATATGTTCACGGCTGCCGTAGTTCTTGTAGCAGGCTGTTCGCGTCCAGGAGATTATCTGGTGGTACCCCCAGCACTGTTAGCATTGGGCGAGCGTGGCACGCCTGGCTACTAGTCTTGCCTTTCCGCTAGTGCCGAAAAGCTTCCATCCGCCTGCTTGTCTATGTTGAAAGACACGATCAGCACGGCATTTGGGGTGGTATTGTCATCCTTGTTGCGGATGTGGAAGTTTACGGGGGCCTGGCCTGTTGCAGTCACGATTTCGTCGTACGCTGCGTCCATCAGTGCCATATGATCACCGGTTATGCTTCGCAGGTGTCTCGGGCAGTCCTCTACGATGAAAGTGTACCACGTCTCCTGCTTGTCCGCCTGTGTGGCGTTGAGCGCTGGAAGCCATTTCTGTTGCTCAGAGAGCATAAACTGCTGGGTTTCCGTTGTGTCTGGGTAGACTGACCACCCAGTCCGGATCTTTCTGGCGTCGAGTATCTGGGTTGGTTTAAGCTGCAGTGTGTCCACTATATGCTTTTTGACGCTGTAGTTGGAGTGTTCCGCTGCCCTATCCGAGGACATGCGGATGAGCACTCTTTTGTCAGTTTTGATGGGGCGTCCTTGAGGGTTTCTTGGGGACTGTTTGCGGGTTGTTGGTGGGTTCGATTCGTGGGTGGCCGCCGTCGCCGCCACGCTTGCGTACGTGGTTTCTGCATGTCTGCTTCGGTCCTTCTTGTTAGGCTGGGTTTTGCCAAGCCCAATAAGTGCTGTCCATAGGTCTGGGAGGTTTTCGGTAGCTGTCTCTATGAGACGGAGTTGTTCAGCATTAGCAATTTTGTTGTTGCTTATGTATTTGAAGGCGTCTATTACAAGCTAGAGGACGCTGATTTCGTCATCATAACGGCGTTGAGTTGCGTCCGCAATCTTGTCCGTTGTTGCCCTGAGGCGGTCGCAGCTGAGTTGGAGTACTGGGGGACTCGATCGGATGGAAATTGGTGCGGTGAAGGGGTCTTCCGTCCCTGCTCTGTTTCTTGCTTGTTGTTCATGTCGGTGCGCTGTAGGGCTACTGAGCGCTTCATCTGGGCCAACTGCGCGTACTGGGGAGCTGCTCTCCAGCATACGCCTTCGCGCAAGCTGGTGAGTGCTTGCCAGGGCAGCGACAGGTCGTTCAAGAGTCCTGAATTGAACCTGCCGCTGCCTGGCAGTAGTCGGGGACATGGTGCTGGCTTTGAGGCCCAGTGGTAATAGGGGGTTGTTAGGGGCCGCTCAGTGGATGTACGCGTGCACTAACAGCACTGCAGACCCACTGTAGATGTAATGGGGAGGTGTGACCCGGCGTGATTTGATTTGATTTTGATTTGATTTGACTATTACGTCCGTCGGCGCCCTAGTGTAGGCTTTTGGACGTGCTATCGAGCCTTCTACGGATTAATGTACAGTCGTACCCGCTAAGTGGGCCCCAACCAGGCGCCTCACGCCCATATTCTCACTAGTTGCCCCTAGAATACTTTTTCCTGCCATCATCCTCCAACTGTAGCAGTTTCG